GTACCCCACAGGAGGGGGTAAGCCCCCCTAAGCCACCCAAAGGCCTTAGCAAGCCGACTTTCTAGTCTTACCTAGAAGTAAATGGTAATTATGGAACATAATTACAGCCATTTACTGTGTAAGTGCATGGTCTTTTGTTTCTCACATTTTCTGTAATCTCTTTACCAGACACTATTATCAATATTAGTGACGCTTAAGAACTTAAGCGTCCTACAGATGCTTTGGGTGGCATCCTGGGGTGGGAGAAAGTAGAGCTCCATGTACATGACGGAACTCTTTTGCGCTGAAGGTTTCGGACGTCCGTCTCTCTTTCCATACACTACGCATGTTAAATCGACAAGCCCTAAACCCTAAACCCTAAACCCTAAACCCTAAACCCTAAACCCTAAACCCTAAACTCTTAAGCTTAAGCCTGAGTGCTCAGCTAAAGCCTTCTCACGTACAGGAGCGTAACACACCTTGACGGGAATGTAAACAAATGACCTTCTAAGTCTTACCTAGAGGTAAATGGTAATTATAGAATATAATTACAGCCATTTACAGGTAAGTGCATGTCTGTATACAAATATTCTTTAATATTTCTATAGACAGTACTGTCAGTACTAATACAAGAGTTATTTAACGCCCTAAAACCCTGACATCAAACCCGGATCAGAAAATGGACCCTCGAGTGCTCGTGGCCAGCCAAAGGCCTTGGAGCCAAAAATTACTCGGGAACAGCGCGTTTTTCTTTGTCTGGCCTTGCTAAACCGTGGTGGAAGCCAAAAATTACTCCAAAACAGTGCGTTTCTCTTTGCGTGGCCTCTCTGAAGCTCTTTCGAAGGTCTGAAGGAGGCTGAAAGCTTTTTTGAAGGTCCCAGGGAGGCTCCGTGGGGGGTACCCCAGGATTCGGGAAAAATGGTTCGATTCCCAATTAATTTTAAATAGATTTTATATAGCGGAAATTACCCCCTCATTTTCTAAAATTCTGGCCTTCTTGTGGGGGTAGCCCAGGAGAGGGTAAGCCACCCTAAGCCCCAGTCAAACCCGGATCAAAAAATGGACCCTCGAGTGCTCGTGGCCAGCCAAAGGACTTGGAGCCAAAAATTACTCGGGAACAGCGCGTTTTTCTTTGTCTGGCCTTGCTAAATCGTGGTTGAAGCCAAAAATGAAGCCCAGTCAAACCCGGATCAAAAAACGGACCCTCGAGTGCTCGTGGCCAGCCAAATGCCTGGAGCCAAAAATTACTCGGGAACAGCGCGTTTTTCCTTGTCTGGCCTTGCTAAATGGCTTCTCTGAAGCCACCCTAAGCCCCAGTCAAACCCGGATCAGAAAATGGACCCTCGAGTGCTCGTGGCCAGCCAAATGCCTGGAGCCAAAAATTACTCGGGAACAGCACGTTTTTCTTTGTCTGGCCTTGCTAAATCGTGCTTGGGGCCAAAAATTACTCCAAAACAGTGCGTTTCTTTGTGTGTGGTCTCTTTAAGTGCGTTTTTCTTTGTCTGGCCTTTCTAAATCGTGCTTGGAGCCACAAATTACTCCAAAACAAGGCGTTTTTCTGTGTGGAGTACCCCACAGGAGGGGGTAAGCCCCCCTAAGCCACCCAAAGGCCTTAGCAAGCCGACTTTCTAGTCTTACCTAGAAGTAAATGGTAATTATGGAACATAATTACAGCCATTTACTGTGTAAGTGCATGGTCTTTTGTTTCTCACATTTTCTATAATCTCTTTACCAGACACTATTATCAATATTAGCGACGCTTAAGAACTTAAGCGTCCTACAGATGCTTTGGGTGGCATCCTGGGGTGGGAGAAAGTAGAGCTCCATGTACATGACGGAACTCTTTTGCGCTGAAGGTTTCGGACGTCCGTCTCTCTTTCCATACACTACGCATGTTAAATCGACAAACCCTAAACCCTAAACCCTAAACCCTAAACCCTAAACCCTAAACCCTAAACCCTAAACCCTAAACCCTAAACCCTAAACCCTAAACCCTAAACCCTAAACCCTAAACCCTAAACCGAACCCTAAACCCTAAACCCTAAACCCTAAACCCTAAACCCTAAACCCTAAACCCTAAACCCCAACCCAACGCAACGCAACGCAGCACAGCACAACACAACACAACGCAACGCAACACAACGCAACGCAACGCAACGCAAGAGGGGGGGGGGGCGCACCACAACACAACAACAACAACACACACACACACACACACACACACACACACACACACACACACACACACACACACACACACACACACAAACACACAACACACACACACACACACCAACACAACACAACACAACACAACACAACACAACACAACACAACACAGCACAGCACAGCACAGCACAGCACAGCACAACACACACACACACACACACCAACACAACACAACACAACACAACACACCACAGCACAGCACAGCACAGCACAACGCAACGCAACGCAACGCAACGCAACACAACACAACACAACACAACACACAACACAACACACAACACAACACACAACACAACACACCACACAACACACCACACAACACAACACACAACACAACACACAACACAACACACAACACAACACACAACACAACACACAACACAACACACAACACAACACACAACACACAACACAACACACAACACAACACAACACACAACACAACACCACACCACACAACACACACCACACAACACACACCACACACCACACACCACACACCACACACACACACACACACACAACACACAACACACAACACACAACACACAACACACAACACACACACAACAACACACACAACAACACACAACACACACACACAACACACACACACACACACACAACACACACCACACACAACACACAACACACAACACACAACACACAACACACACACACACAACACACCACACACACACACACACAACACACACACACACACACACACAACACACAACACACAACACACACACACACAACACACAACACACAACACACAACACACAACACACAACACACAACACACACCACACACACCAACACACCAACACACCAACACACACACACACACATACCAACAGACACACACACACACACACATACAAACAAATATATATATATATATATATATATACACTTTCATATTCATGTCGTATGTAGGGCATGAATGAAAATCTGAAGGCCTGGAAGCAGAGAGTGGTGGCGAGTCTACCCCTGAAAAGAAAAGCTCGGCCCACTCGCCCTGGGACTTAATCACCTTCACCGCTTCGGCGAGTATGGGCGGCCACGGAGGGCACTCTCGATCCTAGACGCGGCCATGAAATCCTCTCCCGATGGGCGCTCAGGCCATGAGAGGACTTCCCAAAGGGCACTGCTAGGAAAGAGGACCATACAAGCTTCCACGGATCATGCGGCTTCTCACCCAGCGACCAACTGCCAGTTTTCCCGAGTCATCCCGCATCGTCCTCAGTGCGCGCGAAGCTCACGGGGCTACCACCGCCTTTGGTGCCGAGGCCCTAGCAGGATGACAAGTTAATCAGGAATAGCCCGCCGCCCACTTGCAACCATCTGGCGTGTTTTCATTCATGCTTTCGTAAAGCAGAATAAGTAAGTATAAGGCAGGACAGCACCACGAAAGGTGAAGCACGAACAAACACAACCCGTGCATACACTGCACAAACAGATTCACCGCACCACGCAAATACTACACCGTGCATCCGCACATTCACCACACCACGCCTGTATTTTTAAACACATATATAGAACGTTTTTGCATCGTTGCTAGACGGGCTTCATGTATGGACAGATATATGGCAGTCTGCATGCACTCGTGAGGAGGGAAGAGGATCGTAAATGCTTTGCTGTCACATTTGCCAGATGGGTTTCATGTATAGACACATACAGGCACGTGTGCACGTTCGAGACAGGAAGAGGATCGTAAGACACATTTGTAGTTTTTATGCGTTTAAGTGCTTTTGCATCGATGCTAGATGGCCTTCATGTAAGGCAGTTTGCTTGCGCGATTGAGGAGGAAAGAGGATCGTCTATATTTGTGCTTTTACGTGTCTAAGGGGGCTTTGTTTGCATTGTTGCCAGATGGGTTTCATGCATAGACAGATATATGGTCATGCATGCACACTCGAGACAGGAAGAGGATCGCGAAATGTTGGCTGCTGTATGTGCGATTGTTTGGGTCTAAGTGGTTTTGCGTCGCTGCTAGATGGGCTTCATGTATGGACAGATACATGACGTTTGAGGAGGGAAGAGGGACGCAAATATTTTGCTGTCATATTTGCGACTTGAGAATGGTCGCCGGATGGGCTTCATGTATAGAGAGATATACGGCAATCACGCGTGTACATTTGAGAAAGGAAGAGGATCGCAAAACAAATGGCTGCTATATTTGTGATTTATGCGCTTATCCATACAGATATAAGGTCGTCTGCATGCACGGTTGAAGAGAGGAGGATCGTCAATACTTTGCTGTTATATTTGTGATGTTATGCATCTAGGTTTTGCAAACCAACCAATCAAACAAACCAACCAACCAAGAACACACCACACATACACACACACACACACACACAGACACAGACACACACGCACGCGCGGGCGCACACACACACACACACACACACACACACACCCACGCGCACACGCACACGCACACGCACACGCACACGCACACGCGCACGCGCACGCGCACGCGCACGCGCACGCGCACGCGCACGCGCACGCGCACGCGCACGCGCACGCGCATGCGCACACCCACGCACCCAGGCGCACGCAACCATTGACATAGCATTTGCCCTGCTGTCGAAACAACGTATGGCGTGTGGTTATGACGTCACCCATTTGAACAATAGTTCGAAAGCCCGCGGTGCTGTGAATCCTAAGCATAGCAACCCCAAACAAGCGAGACGGAAGCACTCAGACTGAGGCAAAAGAACTCAGACTGAAGCAACCAACCACGTGCGAGATCATAAGTCGCAGCTGCCAAGCGGGCATTCTCACATCATGCACGACAAGACAAGCTTTTCATTTGCTGCAACGCTCCGGTGACCGGTGCAACAGCGCTCAAAAGTGAAGACCTCAGCAAGCGCAGCTCTTTCTTTTGAAGACAATCTCAGCTGCTGCAATCAGAAGCAGAGCATTGGCCAGGGCATGAGCTAGGTCCCAGCACGCTTCGTTGCCACCCGGTCCATAAGCCTCTTCGACTGAGCACACGGAACAGGTTCTAACATGAACAAGAAGCAAGCTGCGAACTGCCGCACTTTGTTGCTGTGAGCATGTTTGAGCGAAAACTCTCCTCGTCACAGCAGGTCCTTGCATCAAATCCGTCGCTCCAGCATGAATAGCCTCGATCAATCAGCACAATAAGCAACCCGGCGACATCACCCGATGTCACTGCGCGAGTTTCTGCCCAGAGAAGGTTCTTCAGAACTGAGGCCTGGACCGGGGCTCGGGACCTTGCATTTGCAAACTCTGGTCCATCTGTCGTGTCCGATGACATGTACGACACTATCCTTCTGCAGCACAAGATGTTTGGCATGAACCGTTGCTCGCTTGACTGATAGCGAAGCAATGGCATGTCGTGAGCACGTGACGGTACTTGTACCCCCCTGTACCCCGCTTCTCTCGGAGCGCCGCCACATCCGGCTCGGCCATAGCAGAGAGTCGCTTTCGCATAAACCACCTTGGGTGATCTTGGGTGCTCTTGCCATGCCATGACTGCCACACACTACTGCCACTCATCGGAGCGCCATGACATATACCATGACTGCGCTGCTCTCGAGCGAAGGCCAGGGCTGGCTGCTGAGGTACGAGACAAACAAGCCGCTCCTCACACGCCCTCGGCCACCACGAACCCTGCGTTCTCGAAATTGTTCTGAATACTTCCTTCCTGCAGATCTTCAATTACAATCAAAACGGTTGTGTATAAGCACACATACATACATACATGCATGCATGCATGCATGCATGCATACATACATACTCATCTACATGATATAACCAACATACAAAGTCGAAGCATCTCGAGCAAAACACTAATCTTGAAGTGGCATGAAGTGGCTATGAAAATATTATACCAGCGCTATTCCGGCTCTGAGACTTGCGCCCAGTGTCCGCAGAGGCTGAACTTCTGGCCCGAGGCCGTCGTCCAAGTCTGCCTCTCGATGCCACATGTTGCCACAAAGCCTTTCTGCTGTGCTACAGCAGAAAGAATTCATGGCCATGGCCTCCATCTCCTCTGCAAATCTGAGGATGTCTGTCTGCACGCAGTTGGCTCCGCCCTAGTCAATGCAGGCTCCATGGGTGAAGCGCACGGCTGCCGACAGTAAAGAGGAACAACAAGTAGGGTGCAGTCCGGAAAGATCCAATCATCTCCGAACAGAATGCCGCCCGGAGAAAGCGCCCTCCAGGCCTAACAGCACAATGCTACCGCAGCTTCGTGTCTGGAGCAGATAACCATGCATATGAGCATCGAGCCAAGCGAAGCTCTAACCTCTGCTGTCTGCAAGGCCACGCGAACTCTTCGAGCTGCTGCCAACGCAGGCTTTCATCCAAGACGGGCACAACACTTCTCCACTCTCATGGGCCGAGTCCAAGTAGATAACCTGCGGTAACCTTGGAACTTGGTACTCCAGGTCGTGGTCGTACACTTTCTTGCACTCGCAGGGAACGCGCACAAGAGGTGTCGCAGGCTCCGGCGGTGTGATGTGCCGCCTGGCCAGGGATGCGACCACCTTCAGTGCCACGACAGACGTCGCCGGCAAAGGCAGCACCTGATTCTTGATGTGCGAGATGTGCGAGTTTGGACACAAGCTTAGCAGCTTTGCCCTGCTAAGGCTTGCGCGCATGTCTGTACACCTGCATGATGAATATTTGACCGGAAGCCTCAATGAGAACTCAAAGTAGCCTAGGCAGCTGATGGGAACCTGGAACACTGTAGGACTGTAACTAACTATTGCGGGTGAGAAGCGGTCGTACAAAGTTACAGTGCCATCTGGTCGGAGCAGATGGTGCCTCTCCTTTGAATATGGAAAAATGTTGGGGAGCCCTGCCTAGGTTTTAAACCCAGTGCCTCTGCCGTCCTCTCCCAGAGCACATGGGCATCTCCGAGGAATGTATCCACAGCAACGACCTGAAACGGTGCAAAAACGGTCGCAGATGATGACGCGTGCTCACACGCACAGCGCTGTAAGCCGTATGCTGATGTGTTCAAGCTGCGCAAGGCCACACGCTGCGCAGTTAGAATGGCTGAGCCACCCTGCAATGTTTCTGTGCAAGGCCCTTGTCCAGATTGTATACACTTCTTTCCCAACTGCCTCATAAGCACCGAGTTCCAACCAAAAATTAACTGGCTGGGCTGCCGCCGAGAGCCTCGTTTGAATTGAAGATCCAGGCATACTGCAGACTTCTTCATGAATGTGCACCATTAGCACTGCAAATACAGAAAGAATCGGAAAAGCAAAAATCGCAAAGTTGCGGACGCCATGTCAATGTCCTTGCTTGTCCTGATGTTACAAGCCACCGATTGCATGACACTTCAAGATTCGAAAGCTCATGTGCCTAAGTCCATCGCACGTGCGTCATTGCCTTATCCCGTGCCACGTGCGTGGGCACAGGCAACGGTGCGAGCATTGGATCTCTCCTGGTCCATGTGACACGTTGTCAGTCATACGATGACACCTTTCAAGCACCCTCCTCAAACCCGATCCCCCCCCATTGTTGCCTTATTCAGAAGCCTTGAGGCCATTGTGGGATTTTTCGGGCAACCAGTCTTGCTCGAGTGGAGGGCAGCATCAGCAACAACAGCAGTCAGAATAATGACTCTTGTGGCAGCTACTCCAGACACATCAAACTCAAGCGGCCGAAGGTTACAAGATGGCAAAACAGCGCTTTCTTACCGACAAGCGGGCCCAGACATCTACACACACGCCGGCTTTATAACCTTCTTGTGCTGCAGACCTTGCAAGATGCTCAAGCCTAAGCCCGTCAACCCCTATACCCCTTATGCCCAACACTTGCAAAGCTTCACACCCCAAAGGTCTCAAATTCAGACGTACTGCACTTTCATATGAAAAACCGATCAGGAACAACTCGAACGAGAAGGTTAATGCGGGTGTTTCACACGGGCATATATGGCAGCCAGTTGTATGGCAGCCAGTATGCCAGCACTGCCAAACTTAGCTCCCCCGCCCTTTCCCCGGACAGGCAACTTAGAACTGACGACAAGATTAACTTGCTGGCTCCACCCTGTGCGGAATCAAAACGCTTTGCGTTGAACAGCGTTGTAAGTCTTTCGCTTGCTTTGGCTCGACGATTTGAAACATTGTTAAAAACTCTTGCATGAGACCCTCCGCCCTCTTTCCTCAGCAGGCCGATGGACTTGGGGCCTTGCGAGGGCAACTTGAGGGATGGCGTTTGCTTACGCTGATGGACTAGGGGCTGGAGGCCAACTTGAGGGGTGCTGTTTGCTGGTGCTGTTTGCTGGTGCTGTTTGCTGGTGAGCGTTCCGATTTGATTGATAGCTCATACTCCCAAGTGTTTCAACTCTGCTTTTATCATGGGCAAAAGTACTACGGGTTCTGCTCTTCTGCGCGGCAATCGGGGCGGGCCTAGGCCCAGCTGCTCTGGAATCCGTTTGGTGTGGCCAGTGCAGTATACAGATGCTCTGGAATCCATTGACAATATGGGGCAACTGATAAAGCAAACCGAGAGAACGAAGCAACTTCGACCCGTGGCAGTCTTATAACTTATAACAGAATGCACGGCGACTGGCCGGTGCACCAGGGCGAGTCGGTTGTAGAATGTAAAAAATGTTGCGAACTAGCAGTTTCACACTGGCTGTCGTAAAAAGCTCTGGGCAAGAAAGCTCCAATCAAGGATGCCCACCCAAGCCTTTGTGGCTTCTGCGCCGGCCAGTCCCGACGATCCGACCCACATAACACGGCTGAGCGCTCTCATCATTTGCCCCCTTAGCCTGTTGCACAAGTACCCGAACATTCACCAAATCTGCACATATCTGCACACGCAGTTCCTGCAAGCGCTTGCCACGGCGCCTCGAAGTCCACGACGTGGCTTTGCTCAGGGGCCGAAGCCGGCGCACCAGTTGTTTAAACCCTGGGGCCGAGGCGGTCAGCGTGCAAGCATTGACAGTCCAACACCAAGCGCTCCCCAGGAAGAGTTCGTTCACCAGGATGTCAGCAATCGGCGGGCGTGGGCCCTTGCAGACGTCGGCTTCAGTTCAGGCTCACTTGAATTTCAGGCTCACACATGCTGGCCAAAAGATGCCAAAAGGTGTTTCGTTGTTAGCGGCATGCGTGATTGAAGGCCCCCTGATCCCCAGGTCTTTGCCAGTTTGCCACACTTTGGGCCCGTAAACAACGTGTTGGTTGTTCTGAGCCGCGTGGCTGAATTGGACGTTTGTTGCGGAACGTGTGCTGGCCAAAAAAATGCAAGTCCTGGCGAAAGTATGCAATCGACAGGCTTTGAAGCTGAAACGTGAGTGACTCTGTAGCTGGCCAGCCCCACGGCTTCGTCAAGTGACATGCGAAATATTCGACGTTCTGCACGTGGACAGATGAAACATAATTACAAGCCACAGTGAAGTTTTCATACAAAGTGGGAAAGATCTCAGAGTTACATGCACCGTAAAACGACCTATCTCGTGATGAAGTTGATAACCAACCAAGTAGAGACCTACCACCGTGACACAAGTGAAAAAAAAATGCTCGTAGGTTTCTTTTCTGGTGAATGTCGTTCGGAAGTGTAGGGTAGCAAGGTAGGGGCATGTCAACCTCGCGGGCTACACATTGCTCTCAGTGGTCGCAGACTCTCCGACGAAGCGAAAGCGACAAGAAGTCAGAGAATCCTGTGGGCGAAAACGGATTAAGGAACATGCTCAACGAGTCAGTGTCCCCGAGGCCCGATGGTTCTGATTTCGCTTGCTTGGGCTGCGAAACAGTTCCGACCTCCTTTGCATGACGACAACACACGACGCAGCACCGAAAGGACGTTGGCCAGAAATCTTCTAGACATGCACTCGACATGCACTCGACATGCACTGGACATACCCTGGACATTCACTAGGTCGAAAGGCCAAAAGACTCAAAGAGGCTCCGAACAGCAAACAAAACACATAGAAATGTTTTGAATCCGCGGGGTGGCGACTTTACAGTTGCTTTAAAGTTGACCCTGAGTACAGACAGGCCCGGAAGGCCTTGCAGGAGGAGGAGGAGGGAGTACATTTGTCTGATGTCCAGGTTGGTTCTATGGAGGGGAGGCTTACCATATAAATATACATATGTATATCTATATACATATGTATATATATAAATACATATTTATTTATTTATCTATTTATCTTCTTTATCTATATTTATGTACATATAATCTGCCTCTAGATGGGTTTACAAAGATGCCTCAAATGGCCTCAAAAAGTCGGCTTTAGGACTGCGGGCAACGCTACACTCGTAGCTCCACATCGAAGCCCTGAAGCCTAAGACCTCAGTGAGACGCAGCTGTTAGGTGTAAAGTTCTTTCGGGAATCGGCATGAGTCTGCATCGAAATTGCCTGAACAAAGCAAGCAAGTTGCAAATGGCCTCATTGCAGCTGGCTTCAGCATAGACAGCCGCACCGACACTGAAAATCAACCTTCGCGGGCATGTGAAATCAGGACACTGCGAACCACGTGCCAAAGCCAGACAGAGTGCAACTTGAATTCCACAAATGCCCATAGCCGCACCTGGGCCAGTCCATACAGATGCCGGTGCCAGGTTCGTGCTGCCACACGATTTTCGAGCTTCATTCCAGAGCTGGAGGTGATCAGACAGCCGGCGATGAGGATAAGACAAGGCATGTTCAGAATGTTCGACATTCGTTCCCTCCATGCTAAATAAATTCACAGATTTCATTAATTATGGCCAGCTAACACGCTGGGATGTTTTTTGTTCGGGAAGCGGCTGGCCGAGCAAAAGGAAGAATGAAAAGAGCTGGCCGAGCAAAAAAACACACGTTCAGCGGGAAGGAACAAAGAAGTCTTGAGCAGCCCTCTACGGCTAGGCTGTTTTGCAGCTGGGCAAAGCTGAATGGCTTTTGCGCATACACGCTCATGCAATTTTCACACCCTCTAGGTCTCAAGAAGAAGCTCTTCCATGTTTCTTGCTTGGTTCCAAGCCTCCATGTTCTCCAGGCAATTGTTCGACAACAAGAAGCGGTACAGAATAATGAAGAATGCTGCATTATCATTACAACATGCAAGAATCAGATTGTCGTTGGCACTGGATTCCGTGCTGTCGTCTTGAATGTCATCGACTCCGCATACTGCGCATAAAATGTCACCAAAGACCACATCAGCATACCCCACATAAATGTCGCGAAGACAAAGATCGACCTCCTTCAGCAACACATCTTCATTCAGCCGAGTTCCTTTCGACAGTGAGGAGGGCAAAATGATTTCATGTGAATCCAGAGTCTACTTGTTGTGCTGGCACGTTGAGATCGTTTCACGGCTTGACATCTTTTTGGACCCTGTGTTCGGGCACCCTGCAACGCAGCATTCTTCAATCAGCTAAGCTTCGCTCTTCGACGCTTCAGCTGGGGATACCGGGATACTCGAATCGAGACTTGCACAACTTGAGTCAATTTAGAGCAGCGCCATCTTCTACTAAATAGCAAAGCGCATACCGCCTGGGTTTGGGCTCTCAGACGAAAGCGTTGCGAAATGTGCGGCCTTGTGTGGACCACACCTCACTCCGTCACTCTGTGGATCCAATTTTGCAGTTCAGCACATGTCAGCACCCGAGCTCACGCAGCTAAGTCCCCATCACCCAGTTGCTTGCGGCGTTTTTCCAACAAAGTCGAGCTGTCCTGTCTCACACAGCCCAACATAAGCCCATTGAAAACTCCAACGCTCAGACTCAGCTGCATTGTCATTATATAACAATGTCACGAGAATCGCACAGACTGCAGTAACATGAAGGATTGGAGCAGTGCCTTTCCAACAAGGCGGTCGGTCATCAGGGGGATGGCCGGAACGTGCACAAGGGGCTGGCCGAGCGAGCCAGCAAAGAGCATGGCCACACATGAGCACACCAAAGCACATCAATTTGACACCCAACTCGAGCACGAAGCTGAAGCGAAAGACATGGGTCTACGCAGCCAATGAATTGCCAGGCTGACCGGAGGGACTGGACGCCCTTTTGTCACCTTGACTGCACAGCGAAAGCTTTAGATGATGCTCAGTGGCAGGCCGGTCTCTAGCAGCTTTTTGGAGGTAAAGGCATTTATCAATATTCTAATGTGGCCGCCCGAAAGGTGATACTAGTAGCGTACAAGCAACGATGAATCACAATGTAGCTAGCGCACTTTGCCTGGGGCTTTGCCTCCTTCACGGAGGGAAACAAAATCGAGCCAGAAACCAGAAACCTGGATATGGGGTTTCTGATGGCGCTCGTTTGAACTGTCCCTTCTCCTCCTGCCAAGCAACGACCCTCCGCCTCCACTCCACCTCCGGGAATCCCTCTTGCCCTCACCGCCATCTTTCTCCGTCAAGCTGCACAAGGCAGCAAACGGACTCATGTAGAACTGTCGTGCAATCCGCCTAAATTCCATGACCCATGCAATGAAGAGCCTCAACATCCCCAGCCGGTCTCAGTAACCACACATTCTGGATAGCAGCTCCAGATGCCCGTGCACCAGCGGGTTTCATAGGCATCCCGCACACGGCACGGAATCTTGCCTGCGGCCCGTTGGGTAAATTCCATGGATTTTGATGCTATGCAGACGTCTCGTGCACAATGACGTTAGCACCTCAGCATGACGAACCTGGCCCAGAGGACTCCCTTGGATCCAAAAGTGTCCGCCCGCGCGGGTGGCCCCACCCAATGTGGGAAGTTTTGTGGTTCCTACATGCCGTCAACCATCAACCCAAAAACCCATTGTGGACCATCAACCCAAAAACCCATCGTCTGAAAACCGTCACGCCACAGACAAAAGCACACGATGGTCATTGATTGCTAGATATGTCTATATATACATATATACATATATGTATACGGTATGTTATATTGTGTACTTCCATATACAATCCAATATTCCAATAATACTTCGGAATAAAACAAGTACCTTGCCCCTCCCCCTCTCCCCTTGACGCCCCCCTTCTTGGAAGCGCCATGATTTGATGGCTGCTTCTCGATGCGCAGGATTCGCTACTCCACAAGGACTTGCTTGTTCCCAGCGCGGGCGACAGGCGGCGTGGTTGCGTAGGGCAGGAAATGCCTCTGGAAACGCCCCTAGAGGGTTCGGGGTTCCGCTGGGCAGGCCCCGGCCACGAGGGCCACGTGCGTTAAAATTCAAGAGTCCGATGCTGCGGGGGTGTAAGCCGCTCCTACAGACACCACGAAGAAGGCTTGCAGCTCAGACCTTTCCTGAGACCTTGGGACCCCCCCCGCCCTGGACCCTTCCGAGGACCCTTTGTGGGATTCGTTCTAGCCCCCTGGCTCCTGACCTCGTGACATATGACTTGGTCTTCCTTCGACTACACCACCACCCGCGTTGGGCCAGCCCGGCTGCCAAGGCAGTGCGAAACAAGTTTTACATCACCTGAGGCAACGGCAGCCTCTTCGAAAGGATTCCACCACTCGACCTGCATCGGATGGCGAGCATGCGCACGATTCACGTGTGAATCAGTTGGCGCACCCCTCGGTGAACTGGATTGTCCGATGCCACGCAAACAACGGGGAGGTGGCGCTGATGCAGGCGAGCAACCTGGTGCGTGTGTTACCGTGTAACTGAGTGTCTGCATGCACGTGTGGGTGCGCGTGCGCACTCCTGTGGGGTCGCTGGACAACGAAGACGCCCCCAGGGTAGTCACTGGAGGAGGCACGTTGGTTACGTGCCCAGAGTAGATTTGTTGAAGAAGCAGGTATTTGTTCTTATGCGGAACGTCTTGCTTCTTGATTGTTCTGACCACTTGCCACTTCAGAGCTTGCATCATTTGTTTGTTTGCTTGACATAATTGGAAGGATGCAACATGATGCAACAATGCATTTCGCACGTGTTTAGTTCGCAACGGGGAGGTCTAAGGGAACGGAGGGCAGAGGGGGTCGGGGACCTAAGAAAAAGTGTGCGGACTCAAATATTTCAGGCAGTTGGTGTGTCGAGACACAGAACTATTCCCAAGCATCACCGACGGCCTAATTTTGTTGTGCTCTGCTTCAATGAGTCGAACAAATGGAAAACTTTGATGTTGGCACTGCTGCCAAACGTCTAAGAGATTTACATGCCTCACCATATTTTGGCAAGTTTCCCTTCCGAAAAACCAGTTAAAGAACATCCATTTAAAGTGAACAGGCTTGAACTTTCGAGCCAGAAAGGCCAGAGCAGTCTTTGGTTGAAGCTTAGGACGAGACTTCATGCTACAAATTCGACGCAGCGCTGGTCTTGCCAGGTTCCAAGAATCTGCCACAGAGTTTCCGGGTTTCCGCACAATGTCCCGTTCCAGTCAACGCGCTGCTTGGCACAGCGCCGTCAACGTAAAGTCAGCGAGCATTCTCCGGTACAGGTTGAATGGAATATTCCCTTACACTTGCTCACACTTGCTCACACTTGCTCTGTTCTTTCCTTTGCTTCTTCGGCCTGCAAGCTGCAGGCGTTCAAGCGCCAGTCTTCGGTCATCTCCACTCCGCCAGAATGTCAAGTGCGCAACAGTCGGTACCCTGCCCAACGACAAGGGATTGACATACCTGGTATTCATCAAACAAAGCTATGTGGTGTTGTGATGGGAGTCTGTGCATCAAACAGGTGGCCCTTCTCATGATTTCTACATCTACCTGCGGTCAGACTTCGCGTGCTGCATCGTGTTGCATGGCCTCATGCACCAGCCCGCCGAAGTGAAGCCTGTCAGTCTCTCAGCAAGTAACACTACTGAAAAAAACGCTCTCCTGCAGCTGGCGACGTACTGCCTGCTGTCAGGAGATGTGTGATGTGTGTGACAAGAAAGTTGCGCACCTTGGGTGTCGGAACCCACCCACACCACACATAGCAGGCCTCAGGGACTGCTTTGGTGCTCCGGCAGTCTTGTGTACGTCGGTTTGTTGGAAAAACTTTCTTGAATGTATCGAAACATTTAGCTCTTTGCAAAGCATCCCAAAAGCCGCTGACCTATGCTCAACCCCTCTCACTGTCACCATCATGCCGGGTTATGATCGAAGGGTTATACGGTTTCCATGCCTTCGGCCAGAACTTTTGGGGCAAACCATGGCAAACCTTCAGATCTGGGACCACTGCAGGACAATGGCGTCTGCGCCGTGGGCACAAGCCCATGAAAATGCCCGATCCAAAGCCGCAGACACCACATCGCGATCCCTAGCGAGGGTGCAAATCTTGAACAAGCTATTCAAAAATTTGCTTGAGTGCCGAACGCTTGCTGAGCGTAGATTTCCTGCAGGCTTCCAGGTCGCGCGCGATGCCGATAAGCCCGATAAGCAGCAAATTGTCTTGAATCGCGCCTGCTCTCCGATCTCCGGATGAGCAGGCAATCCGAACCTGGCAAGAAAAATAGGAAAGCAAGGGAGGATCTCAGGCGGCTTTGTGAATGATGTCAGCTCGCCATGCGACGTCCACTTGGGGAGGTTGGTCGACCCATGGCCTCGGGGAATTTACTGGGATCACACAGCCCTTGCAACCCCCGACGGAAGAACTCGCGACGCTTCGCAATGGATTGCATGGTTTGCATGCAGCATGCCGCTTGGTGGCAATTTACTGTAGCAGCCCCGAGCACTTGCGAGGAGCTGGCACTCCATCTTTCAGCGGACCACGCAGAACACCGACCCCAGAAGTGTACACAATGCTGCCCTGGCACGCCGTGAGGCTGACAAGAAAAACACCTCTGGGCTGGAAAACGCCGCCTCCTTGATGGCTGTATCTGGCGAAACGGAGATGTCTCGCGCCAACCGCTCGAAAGCTTCAAAGTAGGTTGTTCGCAGGAAGATTTGATCCTCGCTTGTGGGCTTGATTGTGAATCTGTCCACGGATTCATTGGATGCCCATGCTGGTGTCCTCGTAGATATGGTTGTATCTCCGCTGCAGGTTCCGAGGAGCTTCCAGCGGTGTACACCTTCTCACATGCATCGAAGCACATCAGCATAAGGAGTTACTCATGAGAACATGTATGAACTTGTGCATGTGTAAGCCTCAAGATTGCTACCCGCCGGCACTGGGGCAATCTCGCGAGCTGCAACGCCACATCCAGCGGATCAGAGCCTGTGAATATCTCATCAAGGACAACTGCAAGCTTTGTGGCATGGCTTCCAAGCGGCGGGCAACTGGAGCAGAAAATCTGCTGCTTCTGGTTCGAAGCCTTCAAGCACACGTCGAGCACACGTCGAGCACTTTTTCTGCCAAGGCTGAAGGGTCCAAAGCATTTTCATTTTGAATGCTTCGCATATCACATCCAATGGACTTTTACGAGCTGAGAAGTTGAACAGGCCTTTGGGACAACCTTACCAATGAAAACAAGCCACGGCCGAGCTTAGGAATTCTCTTGCATCGTTGTTCTTGTATTGCTTCTGTGGTTCTTTGCTAGCGTTACACTCTCTCTCTCTCTCTCTCCTTCTGCCGGTGGTTTATTGGACGTTTTTTTCATCTCTCACGAATCTCGTGCATCACAAGTGACTGCGCTAATCACACCTCGTGGTTTCTTCATGTTTTACTGGCATCGGACTCTCCAAACGCTTCAATCCTTACAGCAGGTCTTGCATGCATCGGCAGCTGATTCCGCAAGCCACAGCTTTAAGCTTCAGTTGCTGCTAGCTAGCTTCACCCCACGCACATGCTCTCTGTAGGGCAAGACCTTCCTCCGAAAGAAACCGCCCACGTTATTTAGCAAGGATGCCATCACGTTGCTCGCGAATGACTCACAAACAGCTTTTAGAGAGCTCTTGGGTTTGGCTGCTTTCCTGGGATGTTGAACCATCAAAACATATCAGGCGCATCATAGAACTTGTGGGGCTTGGCTTGGCATGCCGCCTCTATTGTCCGGCCCAAAGAAACTCTTTGGATTGCTGGCGCGTTTCTTGGAAAGCAGCGATTGCGGTTTTTCATCAAAAGCAGACTCGCCCGCGGAATCTTCCCTGTCTGTAAGCCGTCAATTCATCCTCGGGCTCTCTGTGCTCGGCGCGGTATCCCTGCAGATACAAGGCGGTCAAACTTTCTAATGCAGGCCTCTCGAGTGCATGTCGTTTCTGCTCTCTCGTGTCTGGTCCTGTTTCAGTCTGGACAAAACAACCCATCTCATACGACGGGGTATGCGGCAGCTCTCAGGCTGGCCTCCATAGCAGCTTGTCCTCAAAACCAGCCCGTCAACCGGAATTTTTGAGCCAAAATCTAAGTTGATAGGGCTGTTCAAAAATGTAGGCGCCTTTGTGAGAAACATAAACCGAAAAATGCAACAATTCCGGATGAAGGTTGAGTCGGTTACAAGTGTCGGGAGCGGGCCGAGGGTGTGTTGGGAACAGGGGGGGCGCGTGTTGGGAACTGGGCAGGCGTGAGTCAGGAACGCAGGGGGAGTGAGTCGGGAACAGGGTCCATGTGTACAGCACGCCCGGGGGTTGAGTTGGGAAAGGCTGCCCCCCAGAATTGGGTTTCGGAGTGATGACCCTACTCTGCAGGTTTGCTTTAAGTCCTCTTTCGGCGACTTGGAGTTGGGTCTACAGTCTTCTTTTCAGCTTCCAAAAGGGAGACTTTACGAGGCGAACACATCCGACGTGGCATGAACCCGCACACCAACACGCCGAATTGGCGTGCGGGTTCATGACACGTCGGATGCCTTTGGAAGCTGAAAAGAAGAGTGCTGTACACATGAGCCCTGTTCCCGACTCACCCCCCCTGCGTTCCCGACTCACGCCTGGTTCTCAACACGTGTGTGCCCAACACACCCCAGTTGCAACCAACACGACTAGCATTCCAACAATTCCACTGGATAGTGCCGCCTTCATCAAGCTGACCGATGGCATGCTCCTGTAAGGATAGTGCAGCAGCAACGATCAGCAACTATCAGCAACTCTCCCGTGTCTAAAGCATTTCGAGTCCCAAACGATGGAGGATGGACGCATGAGATCGGTCTTACCTCACCGCTGCCCACCAAAAAAGCATTCAAAACTCAGTAGAGCCAGAGATGGCCAGAGTCCGAGGGTCAAGCCAGGTGTCCACAGTCTACCTTCCAGAAACGAAAAGCCAGCAAATCTCAGGAAGGTGGCTATCACAAATTTTCTGATGCAATTTGCAGGGACTAGCCGCACGTGACATGGCCTACAAGTGCCTACAAGGTCTTAAGCCGAAAGGCCGGTTTCAGGGCGCCTCCTGACCAGATTCGGAGACGTAAGAGCCCTTTAGGCATGCCTGGCAAAACACGCACGGCTTTGTGTTAGCTCTGTGCCCCTGCCGGATGCACAACGCACACTTTGACCCAAGATGCACTCTAAACATCTTCTGGCAATTGCGGCACATTGCAGCACGTGAGATTCCTTGCCTGCGCAGTGCCTAAGAAGATGGCCGTTGCTATGAGCGAGCGCTTCTCAGGCTCCTGAGGGGAAGCTGCTGCTCGCTGCGGCTGATGCGACCACCACTTGACGCAACGGCCTGCTTGGACTCTTCAAGACTCCTTGTGACCCATGCAGGCTCCAGCCTGCTGCGAAGAAAAGCGCAGCGTAGAAGGGACAAAATGGACAAACAAAAAAAAAGTCGTCAATCGTCTCAATATTCCTCTCAATCTAGCCAGCGAGTCTGACGGAAATCGTCAAGATCTATGCAGAGGGCTTGCTGTGCTTTCTGCAACCTTGCCATGTTGATCCGTGTGACACTATGTGACACTGCAAGTCAGAAAAATGTCAGAAAGGAGCCAGAATGTTCATGGTCCAAGAAGCTCCTCTTGTAGTCTGGGTGCCCGGAGCGCCTCTCAAGATGGAGATGCCTAGGGCAAGCCTGTACGTCTGCACAATTTTGCACACCACATCAAGAGATGCCTGATTGAGACTGGGACCTGTCAGCTGTGAGGCTGTGAATATACGACATGCGAAGACATGGGAAGAGTGATTGCCAATTTCTATCAATGCTTCCATCACTTCTGTCCTGGATGTTCCATGCCATGGAAGACACCGGCCAGAGCCTGCAGCTGCACTACATGGCCTGAAGCCCGGCAATTCTATGTCCCCAAGCTCAGCGACAGGCGCATCGCTGCGACATGATGGCGAAGCATGTGCAACTGTCAGCTGAAAACGCTACAACGACCAAAGTGTACAGACCATGGTGAAGATCAGATTCTGAAAATCTTACAGTAAGGCATTGGGCCAAGTGCAGCGCACAGGCAATGCGAATCTCAGATACTTGCAGGATGATGGGGTTTGTCGCATGTCGCCCTATGAGCCATCAACCACAAGATGCCTCAGGCGCGACCGGACCACACAGCACGCGACGGCAAAAAGCGCTTCGTCGGATACACGGGACACAAATGGAGAGCAAACTGCACTGCAGATGCGCGGCACTTCTTCCAGGCTCAGAGCTGCCCCTTGTGTGCCCCTCTCAGCGCTGAACCGGGAACCCCGACAACCCCTAACAGCCCTCTGCTGCTTCTCGGCCCTAAGAGCCCTAACAGCCCTAAGAGCCCTGCATGAAGAAGGTAATGCGCCGCTGCTTCATCGCCGCCGTGCGTGGCCTGGCTTGAGGCTTCACCTGGCACGATTCGTCAAAGGCCGCCTTTACACGAGCCGTTTTTTCTGAGCTTTGCTGAGCGGCTTGAGCCAACTCAGCCCTGTCACCGCTTCGAAAGACTCTGCCTCTGACACCAGCTCCACCTCTGGCTCTTTTTTGGGCTCTTTGGGCAGCGCGGGCCTCTGACAAATGCAAGGCAGTCTTTGGATGTCTTTAAGCTTCTTAGGATCTTCGCCATTGGAGGGAGACTGCACGGGACCCGTCCTGCTTTTCTTCACATTCTTCATGGCCTCCTCAAGGTTTCAGACGTTGCAGAGCTGTATCTACACTCTACACATTCCAGAGCCGTGTTGCTGGCACGAGTTGATTGCTTGGCAGCCTCCTTCTGCTTAGAGCACTGCTTCTTGTCCTGCGTGTCGCCGGATATCAGGCCTAATGTCATTCATAACATGAAGCCGGAAGAATGTGCTGAGAATCTCCTGTTGCGCCATTAGGTGGGCAGTGGTGGGCATCTACACGTGGATCCACATGGATCTCTCATTGAGCTAGCTCGGAATGGAGTTGCAGTTCCTTCTGGGGGTGAACCATGGTGAACCTAATACTGGATCTCTCATCCTCCAAGTAGATCCTGCGCCACTTCTGTATGATTGGCGCCACCTACATCTGCAATGCCAGATTTACACAGCGCGTCGTGGGCTCGCACCGACTCCGACTCGCGCCTTGCTCTTGAGGCCAGGGCATCTGCATGCCCTCATGTCAAATTATACGACCAGCACGCAGCACATCTCAGCACAACGTCTGAGACTGTGGCGACTCCCGCAAGTACTTCGGAATGAGGGTCCTCTGTCACGAAGCAGGTCGAGGCTCTCCCAGCTGACCGTAATGTCAAGCGGCATATAGCGGGCTCTCTGAAGAGTCCTGCGAAGTAATGACCCCGTCACAGGGAGAGAGTCCAGCTGTGGCACCATCTGTCGCAGCACATCCTGGTGAAGCTTCAGCATCAATCGTTTGCAAAAGCATGCAGGTTCAAGATGGATGGTGCAAGCAAAGCTTTGAACAACTCCACATGTTGACTTTCGCCCTCACCCTCGCAAGCCTGGTTTGCTTCTTTGAGCACCTGCCAAAATTGGACACGACAAAGGCAGAGGTGACGGAATCCTGAGCACAATCCTCAACACAATCCTCAACACAATCCTCAGCACAATCCTCAGCACCTCTCAGGACCCTCTGGACGATCCCCTGCATCCCCTGGCCTCCACGAACTTCTGGGCCTTTGCCAGATTCTGCTCAGCACGCGCAACCTGCGCAGCCTTGGCCGGCCCATGCTGACATTGGCAATCTATATGTAAGTTTGCTGCCAGCCTTGCAGCTCGCGAGCATGGGACCTCGGTTCTGTGACACTCAGTCTGAGACATATTTGATAATTACACTTGATTGCACCTCAGGACACTACCGATGTGTCGACTTTTCTGCTTTGCTCTTCTTGCCAAGGCCTAGCAGAAAACTACAGTAAAAATCATCCTGCGAGTGCAACTGGCAGCACATTGAGTCTACGCATCTGCGCATCAATAGAAAGCCTTCTTAGCGTTCGACTCCCATTTGCCATTCAGGCCCTTGCAAATTTGTGTTTGGCTCCTTTGTGGAATAGCAAGCAGCAACTACTAAGTAGCAAGTGCCCTGAACCTGCCGATACTTCGCCAGGACAGCACGTCGACGGCGAGTCGCCTGCACTCTTTGCAGCAAGCTGAACATAAGGACCTTCACACAGGTTGGCTTGCCAATGCTTGCCACCTGTACCGCACACCCCCCTGCATGCAGCCAATGTCATGATACTCTGAGAGTCTGTGTCATGATACTCTGCCTCGCTTTCCCATCGCTTGATCCTCTTCAGCGGCATGTGGCAGCTACAGTCGGAACTCGAAAAGTTGCTGCGACTAGGGTCAGCAAGCCAGCAGGCGCTGCTCTGATAGGGAACCTGGCGAGGATTCGACATGCATATCCACTGGAGCCGATCATCCGCTGCACCAGGCTCTGACTCAACATGCTCAGAAACTGGTGGCTCAGCAATGGGAGCTCTAAGGTAGGCATTCCTAGTCCCCGTTGGTCAACCCCGCCTACTTCTAAGGGCGGCGGACAACCAAATTGTGTGAGGCACAACAACCTCACCCATGTGACGGGATGGCAGTGCGAACGGGACTGGTCACTAGAAGAGGCTTGACTCAACTTGGCTCACCCAAGCAGGGGCTGACAAGGGACCCCGTCAGCAAGGATATGCGAGAAAACGGTCTCCAAAGCCCTTGCCGATCCTAGCGGGCTTTTGACATGGGAATTCCGCAAAGCAGACTCCAAAAAGCAGCAGACCGACAGATGCAATCTCAAGATATCTCAATCTCAATCTAGCAGCTGCAGTCAGGTGAAACATCGCCGTCCCAAGGTCTTCGTTGGGAGATGCCTTGTCATCTCAGGAACGTTGAGGAATGGCATCTCACAAGCCAGACAAGAAGGCTGCCTCATCCAAGTACAAAATAAACAAGACTGCCACACAGCACCCCCGGGCCTTTGTTGATGGAATCCTGACCGGCACATGTTAGACACATGCAGGTGATGCTGGCTTCTTTTTGGTGATGCTTTGCATGTGGACATCTATGGACCATTGCGAAAAATTGCGCACTCTTTGAAGTTGGCGACGCACCTACAAATCGGCCGCGCCGTGCAGAATGGACTTAAAGATTGCAAACCTGTGCGATTCCTACCCCAAGACATGAGATCCATCCAGGAGGGTTTACTGGCAAACTGCAAACTCACTATATGACACGCACCTGGGACGCACACACTTGCTTGCATGTGCAGTGGCAATGCCTGACATGCGAGCAGTCAACACCTTCAGGCTGAAAGGGAATGCTGTTGAACCGTAACCCATCTGCAGACCAGCCGACCAGCCACTCCGTTCCAGAAATGTCATGCTTGTTGCAAGCACAGACCTTCCAGAATCAATTCATCTGAAACTTCCACCTCAAAAGCCTTCACCATAACCCAAATGACCTTCTGGCGCACTAAGTCAGCTGAACTGCAACCTCAGGACGTTGATATGCTGGCAAGACTCTTCACTGCGTGCCTTCACATAGCCAGAGTGCGACTCAAGCGCTGGAGGATGCTCCTTAAGCTCCGGGTTTGCCACTCGAGTGAACTGTGTCTCGAGGTTGTCCAATCGACCCAGCAGCAGCAGAACTGCCTCATTGCCCCCCCATTGACCTATCAGCACGAGAGGGCAGCAGGCAAGCTGGACCAGTAGAAGAGCTCCCCCAACAGCTGCTGCCGTGCATGTCAGTGGCCCTGCGAAACAAGCGAACGCTTCGTATTGCAGAACGATGTCCTCAAGCAAGCCCATCTGCCATGTGTACCATTCATAAGGCTGGCAAGCTGGAGTATTATGCAGAAAGAGGGCTCGTGCCAGCTCGGCCTCGCCAATCAATCCACACACACAAGGAGAAAAGTCGCTCTCGCGGCGACACGGGGGTGAGGGACACAACTCAGCTGTACAGCGGCTGTTCTCCCGCTGCATTGGGCAGCGAGCGGCGTAGTGTAGGCCGGAGGCGATCGATTCTGCCAATACCGCTGCACCCGCGCCGAGCACGCCAAGTGACACCAGGAAAAAAACAGGAATTCCTGCAGAACATGAACCAGTTGAATGTGATCCGAAGAGTAAACATCGCATTGGCATTGCGAGAAACAGCAGACTTGCTGCAGGCCAAGCAGAGGCCCATAAAGGTGCGCAGTCCCTGCATGACCAGCCAAGACAATCCGTATCATGGAGAGAACATGGATCTACTGCTTCACGGCAAGGGTTTGTAAATCGGTCAGCAAATACTCCGCCAGCTACCAGGCACAACTCTAGGAAGCTTAGCAAAACAAGTACACACCAAAGCCGCCATAGAGATTGCAAATCCCTCGTAACGGTGGGCGACTTGCTGCTGGTGGGCTCACTGGACAAGGGACTGTTCCTGGAACTCAAATCCGCAGCGTCTGTCTCACCGGAGAACCAAACGGGCTTCATCTCAACGGTGATATGTTGTAGGCTCTTCGGCGCTATTGTTCGATCCATTCCGCGTGGACTGGAGTCGTGCAGGTCTACACGACTGCCACGATTGCCAATGATGGAGGGTTCTGGTTGACTCTCCAGGCCTTGCGCCAGGCCTTGCGCCAGGCCTTGCTCATCTTGCTCATCTTGCTTTTTTTGCTTCTCTTGCTTCGTTGGCAAGAGCATTTCCTCGTCCACCTGTGGGGCCACGTGCTCGCGAAGCACTGACGGCTCGCGAAGCACTGACGGCTCGGGCTCTTCAACAGCCAAGTTCTGCAACCTGCTTGCTATAGTCCTACATTTGTCCGGTTCACGAAGCACTGACGGTTCTGGCTCAAAAACAACTAAATCTCGCAACCTGCTCGCGATTGCTCTGAAATTGTCTGGTGCACTTTCAGCTCCAGTAGAGTTCTCGGCCCGACCGAGTACGAGAGGAGCGAGAGGAGCAGGCCTCTGCGGCTTCGCATGTGTTTGCATGTTGCAGCATGTTTGCGGCATGTTGCATGACATGTGGAATGGCTCCACGTGGCTCCGCATGGCTCCCACGCAGGCCTATCTGTCGACGTAGAGCTTGTGTCCATCGAAGACGAATCGGACTCGCCACTGCTCTCAGAACAACGGTCCTTTCAGATTTCAACTGTCAGGAAGAGCCACACATGCTGTCGCAGCCGAGAATTTGTTGACAAGACATGCAGAGATGATTTTGCATTGCCAAGCACAGGGAGAACTACAAAAACAACAAACATGTGCTTTCCTTCATGGTCCGCATATTCTTGCTCACTTAAGCACAACCAGGTTCATGTTGACATTGTGTGCACTTTTTGTCGATTAACTCTTGTGATTGCTTTTCTCCTCCTTCTCTATTCTCCCGAGTTCCAGGAAACCGTCCGCGCCAAAATGATCTTGGTCCGAAGAGCGGGGGGCTTACGCTTTCTTGGATACAACTGGCTCCGGCACTTGAGCGCCAGGTCCGCACACAAAAGCCCAGGATAAGCCGATCAGCAAGCTAGGTGGGTCCAATGGTCGAGTAGTGGTGCAAGTTACAGCACCAGGAAAGTCTGGCAAATGCAGCGGCAGCCATGTACGCAGTGCACGGTAGTGGTGCTAAGGAGATTGTTACCTGGACATGCACACCATCAGAAGATGGAAATTGGCCAGGTCCAGGTCGAGACGAGAATACAGGCGTTAGACCCCCCAGAGATTGCGCCGTTCGACTGTTCAAACTGCTACGTGAGCTGCAAACCTTGATGTCAAAGCTGGCACATAGGAAGGAGGTATTGAGAACTCGTTTTTCGATGTATCGCCTTGGTCCCGCCCGCTGGGACAAGCCCGCGGGGTCAGCTTGATGCTTGACCACATGGAGCGTGAGTTGAGGTTTTTGTCTGAAGATGAGCTTACCCGAGCGGGACGAGCGAACATGTCTGCTCATCCTCCAGCCTACAAAGTAAGGCAAAGGTGCTAAAGGCCCCACGGACCTGGGCAAGCAAAGTGACTGCGGTGGCCATCCGGAAGGATCCAAGGACAAGAGCAAGGCTACAAGGGAAAGATACAAGGGAAAGATACCCTTGCTACTACCTCAAAGTTTGGACCTCGAAGCTGTTCCCAGAAGAACTGCATGTACTCGCTCGACGAGAATTTCTGGAAAGATGTTGGTGCAGCAAAAAGCAAATCCTGCATCTTCTACCAGATTCTACCATCTTCTCGTGCGTGAGAGCTCTCGTACCCATCTGGACTCCGCTTCCCAAGCCAGTGCTAGCCTCGAGTCAAAATTTCACCTCTTCGCTCTGTCTGCCCTTGCCCTTCTTCTGACTTTGGGTCATGGTTGTTGCTGGTGTCATCGTTCCTTGTTCGACCTGGTCGAGGAACTGCAACATCCAGGATCTCCGAACTTTTCGGTCCAGTGGCGGGGCGGACGATGGGCTTATGGCTCGCAGACCACGGTTTATCTAAACAGCCTTGAACCACGGCACCCTTCTGCCATCTAATCTATGAGGTTCCAGCGGTTCCGGTTCTTGGGCTGGCGGTTCGGCGGTGGTGCTGGCCTTGCCTTGCGAGTTGCGTTCAAATCGCTTGCGCAACAATACAACAATTAGCTGTCCACGCCTTGAAGACCTAAGTAAGGCACACGGATGTCCTCTCCCTGCCTGCCAGCCCACACACTCGGCTTGGGTCCCGTAGCCCCGGGAGGAACGCTAGTGCACAAATGCGCATGACGCTTACCCAGACTGTCCGGTCGACGATTTTTCATGGATGTTGAGGTCAAAGCCCCAAATGCCCTTGCCTCCCCCTCAAACAAGTCTAAGCGAGTGTTTTGTGCCTTGTCGGGCAGAAGGAGCTTCTGTCAGCAGGACTGCCTCGGGCAAGTTTAGGTAAGCCTTGTCTCCTATTTATGAACTTTGCTTGCTTCCATCTCCATGAATCAGATGACTCGAAATTTCGTGAAACTAACGGAGATCCCTTAGAATTTCTGAATTGATGGTGCTAACCTGCTCAATCAATGGCTTCGCGCATGGACGAACGTTCCATGACAGGGAGCTTGAGTTGCGTTTTGCCCGCAGGCCCTCACACAGGTCAAGGACGACAGCAGACTTTCGAGGTTTGTTGATGTTGGTTGAAGCAGAGTGGGCACAGCACTTTAAACACTCTGTGACTTTGGGGCAGGCCGGACCCAGCCCCCCCCAGCCACACACATGCCAGCAGAGCTCCGAGATGCAGAAAGTTTGCAAGGCAGCGTCCTCCTGTTCCATGCCTGGAGACCCAATAGACCCATCAGCGACTTCGCGCTGCCCAGGACCGCCTAGGCCAGTCTCTATGAGGAAAGCGGAAGGAAGTCTGAAGAAAGTCTGAGGTCCTCGCCTGGTGACTCCATCTTTCAAACGTGAGAATCTAACAGCTCACAAAGAGTCTCGTGCAATCATCTTGTCATGTACAGACTGTCCTTGCGACTGCATCTATGTCTCAACCTGGCTCATACTTCCAGCGACGTTCGAACCTATCTGCGGGACCGGTTTGCGCAAACAAATTGCTTGCCTTCGTGTTTGGCAGGGTAGTTTCGGAGGTCAGCTAAGTAGTGGATAACTTGTCTTCAATAAATTCATGGAATGAGTGCTACACCTGCTGTTTGTCTTCTGCATCTGAGGCAGCCAGTGCTTCCGGATAAGCACAAGCATTTGTAAGCTCTGCTTCGATCTGCTGACAACCTTTCACAAATGGTTTTTTTCATAGTGGCTTGCTACTGCCGGTTCTGACGCTTTTTCAGAGAATGGCTAGCAAGGAAACATTTGGAAAACGGATGTGGTGAACTGATGTATGCACCAGCTCACCACAGAGACAGACTGGCTAGTCCGGACAAGGCCAAGCCGCACATTGACAAAATGGATCCTTGCACTATCAAGAACACAAGCCATCGGGTAAAACTCAAACCAAGATCCTTCATGAACCCGTAAGGCCAGCGACCCGTGATTTGGTGGTTCAAGTGTATGACGCCCAGAAAGATGGTAACATAGAGCAAGTGAAGGCGAATAAGGCCCACGGCAGATGGCATTGCAACATGTAGTGTCTGCTGGTGCTTTAAAACGATGTCGAAGATGGCCACGATGATGGGCAGGCTGTGACGCAAACAATCGATGAAACCAAAGCGCACTCCACGAGCAGCCCAAACCTGGCATTGCCTCTGATGATCTGGATGGCTGAACACCAAGTTGAAATACTGGACAGTAACAAAAACACCGAATGCTCCAACCACCGGGGATGCAGCATACGTGCCAACGACTAAACGCCTCCCGACAAAAGGAGCCACTGCAGAGGTGGCAGCATGCAGAGCTAAGGCTCCTATTGTCTGATGCGTCAAATAAATCCACCTGCCAAAAGGGCCATACGTAACCAGAAAGTCGTCGTCGGCCTCTTTCGTGCCACGCGGCAACACGTAGATTTCAACGTAGAGATTGAACACAGCAAGGGTCGCAACAGCCAGCTGAGCGGCAGATACGAGGCATGGTGCTTCCGGAACTGGTAGATCTACTTCCAGCGCGTGCAGCAAGGCTACATAGAGCACGAAGAGCAAAGCGACCCCAATGTGATCCAAACGTCTCGTGTGTTCATGCTGCCTCTTTTCCTCAGGATCATATTTGCCAGCGGGACATCTGAGCAGCTGGCGCAGCCCACCTCTAGACATCTCTAGACGCAAGATGCCGAAACGTTATGGAAAGGTCTGAAAATGTCTACTGGGTCGTGCAGTTGCTGTACTGTTGCTGTGGTAAGATGTGTTTTTTCAGGCGCGGAAAGAAGGAAATTCTGCTCTGCCCAGTTTCGACAAGCTGTTCAAGCAGAAATCTACGACTGCTCCCTAGATGTGGACCCCTTACCCAGTATGCATGTTTACAGTTTGTGCACGCAATCCTTGGAAAGGGGCACTGATGGACCAGAAACGCTGCCATCGGTGCTTGACAAGCACTGATCGGACACAGGCACTCTCATATTGTGAAATTTCTGGAATGTCGTGGCTTGTGGAACTAAAGTTGCCCCGCAACCCCGCGTCAATTCCAGCAATCGGACGAAAGCTGGCACTTGTATTAGTATTGCAACCTCTGCCCACCGTACTCTGCAACCGCATCTGTTCGCAAAGCCTGGCACAGTCTACCCGCTCCATTTCGAGCAACCGCTGCATTCCACCGCATTCCCGTTCAATTGCTGCGCACCAACTGCTACAGGGTGCTTGAACCAGGACAGGGTCAAGAATGTCCAAGATTTACATGGCTGCGTCTGCTCTTGAGAATTTGGCAATGTGCTTCCCGGCACAACTTCCCAGCAACCAAGATGGTGGCGAATCTTCGCATGGCTTCATGTGAGGCTTGAAGGCTGAAGAGAACAATCGTGGCATGTGTACGATTACGGTCGCGAAAAGAAGATCAAGATACTTCTGGTCGTCACTGCTGACATTAACAGTGTCCGACACCCATCGTAAAAGTGAACACGAGCGGACGACTCGGCAAGTATAATTCTAGGTTCCATCATTCCAGGCGTACTTCAAATCGCTGGAACTCGCAAACGCGACATGAATGTAGATAGTCTTTGTGAGGAGCCCGGCAGAAGTGAAGCTTTTTGCAGCCGCCATGAGTGGGACCGACACTCCTGGCGCATTTGCAGCTGCTTCGGTCCCCAACAAACGAGGTACAGGGCCCAGCGCCTGCCCGAATGAATCTGGTTGAAAACTGCGACATGTTGTCAAGCAGCTATCGGTACTGGCATTTTGCCAGCAGCGATGTAAGAATTTGTGCCGCTAAACTACTCTTTGAGTGCCAGCGGATCCTTTTCTACGAAAAGCTTCTCCCAAATAACACTTAATCCACTCCATATTGTAAGCCGTCGAGCCTATGTAAATCCTTTGGGCAAAGGCTCACCGTGTGCCCGACCTGACGAGTCCACATGTTGAGCGAGGAGTCAGAACAATGCATCTCTCGATGGGAAAGTGAGCTTACCTGTCGGCATGGCTCCTCCTCTTGCCCTGGAAGTTCAGCAGCCGACATATTAGCCACTCGCAGAGTAGCCGTGGACGGTAGCCACCGGCATCCATACCTTTGGACATCAAGGCTCAAAGACAAACGGCACGTAGCAAGTAAAAAAAATCAAGTTCTGATGGCGAGTTGTGCTGTAGCACTTGGTAAGCGAAGGAAGAGCTTCACCTTCGACTGCGCATCCACCTGCTCAGATATCTCAGAACTGAGTTTCCTACAACATGGAAGCTGTCAAGACAAGCCAAACGGTGCGATGGGCAAGTCCGGGTAAGTCAAAAACAGATTTGGAGTCCAGACACAGAATCCGACATGTATCTGCAATACAGAATGTCAAGGATCAACGGCTGAAGCTGCCTGCCCGAAAGTCAGGAAGCCTTCAAACCAGCCTGGCATGTCAGCACCTTAGCAGCAGTAGACGCACTCCAAGACTAGTAAGATTCGAGGCATTTCGAGGACGATAGGTGCCGGCATCGTGAACGTGCAACCCATGAGCCACAGAATTCACGCGGTGGAGAAACCACTGTGGAGAACGGAGCTAGGGTCAGAGTTTCACTGTGAGGCTTAGAGCCTTAAAGTCTTCGAGAGTCTTCGAGTGTCTTGGAGAGTTTTAGAGAGTTTTGGAGAATTTTGGAGTCGTAGAGTCTACAATACCACGAGCCAATGCAAAACTCAACCCACCGAACCGCTGGGAGTCGAATCTCTTCACCTTGAAAACCCACCTCCCAACCCCACCTCATCCCACCTCTATTGCAAGCTATTGCTGCAGGCTCGAGTCCGCTCCTTTGTTTCCTTCGTGACTTCTCCGTTCACTGTGCTTGAAGCAAGAAGTCATGTCAGTGGCGCTTGACACAGTACCGGGTCTACCAATATTCCCTGAGCCCTGGGACAGGACTGCCACGATGGCACATGTAGTCTCGTGCAAAACTTGAGAACTAAAAGATTGTTCAAGATGCCAAACTCAGTCCCAATCATGTGCAACCTTCCTTCAGAAGTGGCACTCCCACCACTGTTGCAACAGTCATGCTGAGCGTACGGCACTCATGGAGTCGCCGCACACCTTCACTTCAACGGCAGGTTCGGACTTCGGGTCAGATGTTGAACTGATGCCCCCCCAGAGGCTATGTATCGGCCAATACCAACAACTGATGGCCAGCACAGCACGTATGTTCTGGCACCTGACCGGCTTGATGAATGCCCCAAGTGTCAGTAGCAACTATCAATTTGCATTCTTGACGATGTGATGGCACGGGATATTTCATGGTTTTGGGATGTTCTTTTGGGATGATGAGTCGGTCAGATGCAATAGGTGGGCGAAGCGACAGCGCTTTGACGTGGTTATACGTAGTGTAAGTTGTCTCACCTCATGATACTTGAAGGGTGTGGCTGGATTGCAGCGGAAAGAGCTGCACATCAAACAGCTCCTAATGCGTGACAGGGTGTGTTCTGCAGCAGAGTTGCCCCACCCAAACCGACTCTTCACCAGAGTCACTAGAGATTTTGGATGAGTTCTGGCAGCATTTCACAACACTAATCAGCCAAGCGTTAGAAAGAGCAAACCGTCTCTTGGAGCTGAGGATGCAGCATTTCCCGTCCTTGAAGGACAGATCCAAGTGTACATCTCCTGCAGAGTCCTTCAGCTTGCACAGAGAAGACGCTTGCAGGGTCAGCAGGCGCAACTGGTACTATACTGATACTACCCATCACAAGTTTTTGCTTCGAAATTCCCAATCCTGGACGTAGGGTCCAAGTTGATCACTGAGGCGAGCTTGAAGAAGTTGCAACACGGACCTGCGATCCTTCGTCGTCCTCGTGTCGACTGAAGCATTGAGGAGCACAGCCAGATCTGGCACTGCAAGCAATTCAAAAAGCAGCCGACTTGGATGGACTCTTCGGCAAGTTTGCCGAAAGTTGAGCCTAGAGCCGAGGCTTTCCATATCTTTCCATAGTTCGCACATCGTCGCGCAGCAGTCATGCAGCAGTCATGCAGCAGTCATGCAGCATGTCGCCGCAATGTGGGGGCCAGGCTCCATTTTCGGTCGGCAAAGCCCCCAAGCGTGAAGCAAACAGGCTCGTGAGGCCTACACCAGTGGGCCAGGAAGCTGGGACCGTCCCAGGAGCATCTCCTGCAACGTTCTGTGGCGTCCAGCATCTCAGCGCTGGGCTGCAGCTCGTGGGCTCCTGACCGTGACTGAAACATTTCAAACCTCGAGAAGTTGTGGACTTTGGACTTTGTGCGGGCTCCTTAGCCTCACGCAAGGCAACAGCCTGACATGCACAAGTGAGCACGGTGCTATGGACGCGAGAAGGAGAACACTCCTTTTCCTGACCTTGTTGACCCAGATGAGAAAATATGCTGTCCCGGCAGGTATTCTAAACCTTCGGAGCATGCGCAGCATGTGCAGAAACTACACTGACATCAGAGCGAGCTCTGAGGCGATTGCATCAGAGGGCTGAACAAGGCAACTCCGTTAACCTACCACAACTTCTCCAATGCTGGGCAGAGAGTGCAGGAGATGAGTTTGACACACAAGGCATTTCGCAAGGCCTGCCCTGCTGAGGTCATGGGAGCGTATCCAAACTTCATCGCCAAAGGCTCCTCCGAGATTTTGGGCAGGCTCCCAAAGTGTCCAGATGCAAAATGATCCATCCAAAGCTTAGGCCCCCCCTGCAATGACTTGACAAATTGACACAGTCTATTTCATACCCTGAAGTGGCAGTTCCAGGATACTTATTCTGAATATTTGCCCATCGAAATTTTCAGCTTTGACAAAGTGATTCAAGGTAAAAGGATGAAGGCCAATAGATTTAAGGGCTCATTGCGCGGATTAAACTGGCCAAGGCACATCCAGGGAGGTGAGCAATGCTGGCGCTCGGGTTGATTCCTAAGCAACGAAAACGCCATAATCGAACGCCACAGTCGCATGAACAACCCATAGGGTCTGGACGTTGAAGGCAATAGAATAGCACAGGCCTGGCCCGTCCTGCCAAAGAAAGGCTAGGCAAAGAACAGCCATTAGGACCATCACAGCGACAATCAACTGCACAGTACACGGATGCCCAATCTGTGAAATCTTTACACCAATTTTACATGGGTCCTCCAGCGAGTCTGGTTCGATCCGAAGCTCGTACCGTGCTCGCCTTCCAGCTTTTTGTCGCTGCCAGCACTGGAAGATGTGGAAGTGGCGGAAGTGAGGGAAGTGAGGTGCTTGGGGGGCCCGGGCGGGAGGGGGATCTTGACGCGGATGAGGAAGTTCCAGTTCGGCAGACGCTGGGCCTTGCAGAAGATTACAAAAGCAACAAACGCGCACTGCCGTATCTTGTCCTCTGTCCTTGTTAATGCCCCCAACCTGCGCAGCTCTAGGAACGATGTCTGTATCGCCACCAAAGCGAACCACGTACAGCCTCAAACGTGATCAAAAACAGTATTGTCGTGCGAAGCCAGGGCTGCAAGTTCGCAGCTCAGCAGATACTGCTTGAACTGGCGCGCGAACAGTCACTGCAAGATCCTCAGGGTCACAGCAGCGGAGGCATGGAGGACTAATGGAGGTTTCGGGACGAGCTTCACCAGGGCTGGCGCGACTCCGTCCACCGTGATGTCCATGCTTGGGTGGGACATGGGCCTGGCCATAATGTTCTTAATAAGCCACCACGAGGGACCGAGCAGCACAAACAGAAGCTAACTTGCCCTGGTTGCTGCAGCACACTCTTTTGTTGCTGCAGGAAATCACTGGCCTCGGTTGGCCAAACTATGTTTTTAAACTCTTGCCGAAGACATATGCGTTTTTCCCTCTTCCATTCTGCAGTCCTGACACGACCATGTGGCACGCATGTCTGGCCAGCAAGATTGCAACCGGCGCTGAATCGAAAGCCTCATGGCCTGCACTCCAGTCAAGACACTCGTCGAAGTCGCTTTGATGGCTTCTCCACCGGAAGCGTACCTGACAAAACGATGCAGTCAACTGCAGCTCAAGAGGCTCAAGAGGCTCAAGAGGCTCAAGAGTAGAGACCCCGGCTGCCCGGCCACAGGCATGGGTTCGAGATGATCTCGTTGAAGCGCCGTGCCTAGCCCAGGGCAACTTGCTGCTCTCCGTCACGTCCTGCCAGAGAACTTCTTGATCCCCAAATGCCTCGAGCGTCTTCTTCTTGTACATATCCTCGAGTCTGAAAGGGGCCACCTGAAAAACACAACAGCCGGGACTCAGTTTCTTTGCAAACTCTTCGGCGTCGCAGTGCCTGATAGTAGAAGCTGAGCTCTGCCTTTGGTCCTTGCCGTGCAAAGATATGCACGGCGCGCGTTTCTTGTCGCACATCGACATCGCAGATCCAAGAGGCTCCTGTGAGTCCAGAGACCTTCACTTCCAAGCCGATATTGTCATGTTCTGAAGGTGGAATCATCTCGGCCAGAGGCTCACGAGGCTCACGGCTCACAACGTCACATCTTAAACAGCTTTAGAAAGCCTTAGAGTAGAAATGGTCTCTTCGCTGGGTAGGCGCAAGGCATCAGGCCAAAACATGATGCAGAATGGCTCACCATGAGCTGCACAGTCGACAGCCAAGCCTTTCACTGGCACCTGAATCAAGCTTAGTCACTTAGCAACGTTGCGAATCACTCATGCCATATTCGATGCAATGATATGTCTCACAGAATCCGCGCAACGAAAAAAGGTATCTGCGTGGCTGCGTGGCCCTAGGCAGTTACAGCTACGCAGCTGTGTAGCTGCAGCCTGGGCCAGTCTCTCCACCGAGACGGGCATGCCCGCCACAAACTGGATCCTCACCTTGCTTTGCATTGGCTCTTTGCATTCTCTACGATCCTTCGCGGCTCCTTGTTATGCGTCTAAAGCGCTTAAGAACATGCACGAAACATCAGGAAACTAGCTTCCGGTCAGCAGGCGCGCCAAATACTGACCGAAGTCTGAATGGCCGGGCCGTACCTGACAAACAAAGGACTACGTACAGCGTAGGAATACCATCACGCATCACGACTCTCCATGGCCTGAAGGTGTTGGGCATAATGGTCCAGGCAAGCTGCCAGCCCTTCAGCAGGGATGCTGGCACCCAACCTTGGGTCTGATCGTGATTTTTTCGTGCGACTCTCATGACTATCCTCTTTGTCACATCTCTTCGGATCTCTTCGGATCTCTATTGCCCCAAGGGGCCACATGGAGGATAGCACACTGCGTCGACATGGTTCTCAAGGCAGCCTCGAGAGAAATGGAGAAATGCAAAGAGAGAGGTCACTCTGAGAGTTGTGAGGAATTGTGAGGAGCTGTATGGAGCTGCAACAAGTGAAGTCACCGACCACCGCAAACCGGCACGGGCATCCAACAGGAAGGGAGACAAAGGGAGACAAGGAGAGACACCGGCCACCGCAAACCCGGCACAGGCACCCAACACGAAGGGAAACAAAGGGAGACAAGTGGACACACCGGCCACCGCCAACCCGGCACAGGCATCCAACACGAAGGGACACAAAGGGAGACAAGCAGAGACACCGACCACCGCAAACCCAGCACAGGCATCCAGCACCAAGGGAGACAAAGGGAAACAACGGGAGACAAGTGCACGCTACAACAGAGAGCACTCTCAGACTGAGCATGCGCATTTCTCGGGCTCGGGCTTTCCATGCCACAACCAACCACGCTGCTTCCAGTCCACAAGACGCATGTGTCGTGCCTTCTCACACCGAAGAATGCTTTGTGTCTTTTTTGGAGGTGATCTTGCGTTCTGCAAGAGCTCTGCAGGAGCTCTGCAGGAGTTCTGCAAGGTGACGGCCTCCTGTGGGCACCAAAGCCTGCGAAAAGCGAGTTGTCACAGTGGGGCTTCTTCTGAGACCATCGTCCCTGGCCCGCAGAATCCCGCAGATGGATCCCAGCCTCGGAGACTTGGGCTCAGCAGCTTGCGCCGGATCGCCAATGTACCCTTGGCATCACCTTCATTGAAGATCTTTTAACTTTGCAGCATCCTGCAGCTTACAGAGGAACGAACCGCGGCAGCCGGCTCCCAATCCTTCAGGTCCCTCCGGCCTGTGAGCATCGTTGTGTAAGCAGTGGTCGGAACTTCAACTTTGCACCACTCTGCCTGGGCAAAGGCCCCTCGAGATGCGTTGTCAAAATCCATCCAGGACCGTCTCGGCCGTCTTCGGGCGAGACAAGGTTCCTGCACAGGATGCCAAACGTTCTGAGGCAAGCGCTATGCGATCTTCGGTGATGCTTTGCTATGCTCACAGGGCCAAGAGCATCTCAGACTCTTGCAAGAGCGGCTGCAAGTCCCGGAAGATGTCAGAGATCGGCCTCATTCAAAACCATTGGCCGAATATCGACACATACATGGCAGACAATCAGCACCTCATCATCAAGCTCTCTTCAAAGTTCTGCTGCGCTACTACAAGCGTTTCATTGCCGGACAATAAAGATCAAACAGCACAGCCGCCTGATGTGATGATCATGAGTTTTGCTTTGTTCGTCTTCGTCCACATGTCTTTGGGTGAGCGTTGTGTTGCTACGTGTTGCTGCGCGCCGCCTGAGCTCATGCAAGACCACACCCTCACGGCTTCACTCTCGTCACTCTCTTCACTCGCTTCACTCTCTTCACTCTCGTCGCACTCTTCACTCTCTTCACTCTCTTCACTCGCTTCACTCGCTTCACTCTCTTCACTCTTCGTCGCCCTCTTCACTCTCTGCACTCTCTTCACTCTCTTCACTTTCTTCGCTCTCTAGACTCTCTTCACTAAGCTCGGGACAGGCGTTCCTGGCAAAAACCCAAGGACTGACTATTGCTGGACACATGTCTGGCACATCATGTCCGCCAGCCTCGTTTAGGCCAGTGTCGAAGGTGTTCATCCTAGCAAATATTCTTGGGACTGCCCCTGCGTCATCTAGAACAGACAAACAAGGATCTGGCCTCCTTCCCCCTTCCCCCCCATCTTTTGCCTGTAGAATCTGCCCGAACCGCTTGAGGAGCCGCAATCCGAACGGGCTCCAGCCTGACTCCCTTCGGACCTTCCTGGGGCCACCCACCTCCTGAATCCGCTGCGACACCCTCCGGACTTTTCTGGGACCCTCCTGGACCACCCTAAACCTGCTGAAGCCCTCCGTGTGGCGCTGCACCAAGCGACGTGTCACTCTGGCTTTCTTTCGTCCGCGATGCGCACACGACACTGCGCATTCAGCCAGCACAGCTGCGGCTGCGAGCTGGCGCGCGAAAGCGTTTGCAACTGTGGTGACATCCTGGCTCGTGGCTCGTGTTTTAACCCCAAGTTGCCTGCGAAGCGCCGATGGAAATGCTGCAGCCTGAATGGATCGGAATGGCCAGCCACACAGGTACCCGTACATAAAAACAGAAGAACGCATCGGCAAGACTGTGCTGAGTGTCCCACTTGTGCTCCAGTTGGCTTGTGTCGATCCCTGAGCTAAGGCTAGATTGGCTAGATCGGCAAGAGTCGAAAACTGTTGGACTTCATGCTGAGCCGCTGAAGTTCTTTGATGAATTGTTGTTGCTCAAGGAGGAGCTTCTCCTTCTGGCGCTTGAAGCTGGCCTTCTCAAGATTTATCACTTGGCTTGTACATCGGACAGGCTGACCTTGCTCAATGGCAGTGGCAAATAGTGGCAGCATCTACTTCGAGATCACGCGGCGTGGAAGTTGCAATTCATAGCATTTCTGCGCCTGGCGCTTCTTGAGGTCATGCTTGGCTCTCAGCCTCAAGCCATGCACATACCACGCAATCACAAGGCACACAACACACACCACACACCACACACCACACAACACACAACACACAACACACAACACACAACACACAACACACAACACACAACACACAGCACACAACACACAACACACAACACACAACACACAACACACAAACAAAAACAAAAGCATAAACACTGACACTGATACTAACACAGACACAGACACAGACACCGACACAGACACAGACACAGACATACGGACAGACACACGGACGGACACACGGACAGACACGCGGACAGACACACCGACACACGGACAGACGCACGGACACAGACACACGGACGGACGGACGGATAGACAATGATAGACAGACAGACAGACAGACAGACAGACAGACAGACAGACACAGACAGCATCCAAACAGCAAGTATTTAGTTCTTGTTCAATAGCTGCGGGCTATGACTTGAATTGGGAAGGTTTTGTCATCCGTGGTTGCACCCACACGCAAGCCCGACACTTTTTGTTTGCCCTCTGAGCTCGGGGTGCACTTAACCTAGGTACTATGTCCGGCTCAATATGTCCCTGTTGCAAATGCCTGTTGCTGTGTGTCTGCATCAGATCCTTCACCCGAAAAAGAAAAATTGAATAACTCGGAATCGGGCAAAGCAGGGAATTGGAGACAGAGCAACGTAGATTCAATGGAATGAGCAAGCGGGGTACTGGTAGACTGTCTCGCCAAGTGCGACGTGATCAGAAGTGCATACATGAACCGTCGAATGGGTAATCAAGTAATCCCAGTTTCTGAAGCTCGCAGGCAAGGTGCAGTACTTCACGTTTCTCACACGGTGCGAGAAGGGATGGTGGACCAATCCTTGTGAGGCTGCGCTGAAGATGCACAAGATGTCACATCTTCCTAGTCCAGGCACTCCGAAGCAGAAATCCCGCCTAGCGTGCATAGCTGCAAAGCCCTCTTCCACGGCATCCACCAGTGAACCCTCGCAGTGCAGCACCGACACCTGTCACTCGGGTTTTCGTTCTGCACACGACTGCCATTCTCCAATAAGCCTGCCCCAGCTGAAGCTCCAGGAACTTGTCAGTTGCTTGGGATAGGTCTGGCCCATGGCCATCACCTTCGTTGCCGGTCAGAAAAACGCTGACCACTCCCAAAGCACCAGTTGGGCATAGTTGGGCTTACCGGCCTAGTTTAGCTGCTCGAGCACCACCCGGCGGGAGCAGCGGCTGCAAAACCTACAACATACACGATGGATGTCATGCCGCAAGTTGAACATGATGTCGCCGTGAACAACTTGGGGGGCAAGCCCAAGAACGAAAGCTGGCGGGGCGCTACTTCGACACCGCACGACCTACAAACTAGCGACAGTGCGAAGGTTTAGAGCGAAGCCAAGCGGGAAGGGAACCAAATCCTCTGTGAAGCGAGACTGTCTTTGTTCTCGGATTGCGGGTAGGTAGAAGTGGCTGTACCTGTTTCTGTACAAGCCGGGGCACGCCGTTGGCTCCTCGCCTCCTGGGTTTTCTTCACTGAAGCAGCGATGCCTCGTAGAAAAGCGCGCATTCAGCCACACAGGCCTGGCTTACGCCGTTTGAGGGGCGCATGGAAGGGCCTGCCGAACTGGGGGAAGCTGCCACTGACGACAGCAGGGTCAAGCCAAACGTGAGAAAGCACGATTGTAGGGAAGAAACTTAGCCGGAAGCGGGGATTCGTACCGCGTCGCCAGCGGCTGTTGTGGGCGTCTGGTGACTGAATTGCGAATGGTTGGGCCCTGTGTGTGGGACACCTGCCACGGGAGCACAACCGAAAGGACGGCTTGCAGCACACGCGGCAACACCGTAGCCTTTGCGGCTAAGACTTCTAAGCCGGAGCTCGAGAACACGGCAACGTGCCTTTGCTGAACTCGTCGGCGCCACGACGAAATAGTCACAGTGCCCAGTGACGCATTGAAGTCTCGAACCGGTCGCACTTACCTCGAAGGAACTTGACGTGTCCCGTCGGTTGGTGGATGGCTGGCAGCCTGGCAGGATGGATGAATGAACGAGTGAATC